TCGTCAAGGCTGAAACAAATGCCGCCGCCATCATAAATGACAATCATAGATGACATGACACATGACAATGATGACAACATCATACGTGACATCACACATGAAGTAGTCATAAACTTCTCACATAATTATTACCCATTGTTTAGTCAGAATGCAAATGTAAAACAGCAAGTACAGATGCATCCACATACAGATGCATCCACATACAGATGCATCCACATACACGTGTGTTACAATGTGATGCCGTACATAGGAGATAGGAGATTAGACACTCACATGGCTCTCTGCTCACAGAGCGCGCCACTGTCTTGTCGGTGGCGACGTCGGCGCCGCGGACGTGATGTCCTTTCTTCAGGCAGTCGATGGTGTGACGCAGCTCACACAGATCCGTGTCCTGCACGGTAGAGATAGCGGTAACGATTACTGACAATTATTATATTACTTGTTATTAGAAGACAGTATTTGTATCAATAGTCTCTTTTCACCCGTGCGCGCAGACAATGGCTTGCACACAATCGCTTTGCACACAATCGCACAGACGCACGCACACATACACGCGCACGCACACATACACGTGCACGCACAGACGCACGCACACATACACGTGCACGCACAGACGCACGCACACATACACGTGCACGCACATGCCACCGACACACATTAAACGCGCAAGCGCACGCATGCACACACAAGCGCGCACACGCGCGCGTGCGCACAGACGCACTCGCTCACACACACGCACGCACGCACGAACATGCACACACACACGTCACCCGTACACATTAAACGCACAAGCGCACAAAAACGCTCATGCACACATGCCCACACGCACATGAATGCATATAATGCCCACACGCACGCGTGCACGCACTCGCGCACGCACGGACGCACGCACACATGCGCACACACACACACACACACGCACACACACTAACAGTTATACTACTTTGTTATTACTAGTTATTATTACATTAAGTTTTTATACTAGTTAAAGTAGCTTGTTGCTTGACCGATGGTTTGAGACGGATCGATTAAAAACACAAACACACACACACACACACTCTCGCTGGATCTGTTTTTTTCTCTCTCATGTATATAAGAGCGGAAAATTGCTATATTAGCCTGTGACTATATATTCCCGAGCAAATTATATTCATAAGCAAGTATCGACCTACTGTAATATCGTCTTACTTAGTAGCAGTATACGTGTACGTACATTATGGAGCGGCAACCTCGCTCTGTTCATTGTAAAGTTTGTTAGTGTTAGTGTTGGCAGTTGCGGTGTTACAGATCCGGGCAGTGACAGTGTATGTGTGTGTTTTGTTAATCGATCCGTCTCAAACCATCGGTCAAGCAACAAGCTACTTTAACTAGTATAATAACTTTAAAATGTAATAATAACTAGTAATAACAAAGTAGTATATATGGGAATATGGTCACAGGCTAATATAGCAATTTTCCGCTCTTATATATGAAAGCAAATGTTTGTAGCCACTGTTCGCTACTTGGTATATAGTAGCAAAAATCTGTAGCTGATACAATGGCTACAAATCTGCTACATGTATATAGTGTTGTTTATCTGTAGCCAATAGGCAATACAATGGCCACAAATCTGCTACAGATATATCTAGTGTTGTTTATCTGTTGCCGTTACAATGGCTACAAATATGTTACATGTATAGAGCATCGAATCTGTAGCTGATACAATGGCTACAAATTTGCTACATATATATAGGCATCGAATCTGTAGCTGATACAATGGCTACAAATCTGCTACATATATATAGGCATCGAATCTGTAGCTGATACAATGGCTACAAATCTGCTACATATATATAGGCATCGAATCTGTAGCTGATACAATGGCTACAAATCTGATACTTCTATATAGGCATTGAATCTGTAGCTGATACAATGGCTACAAATTTGCTACATATATATAGGCATCGAATCTGTAGCTGATACAATGGCTACAAATCGGTTACATATATATAGGCATCGAATCTGTAGCTGATACAATGGCTACAAATCTGATACTACTATATAGGCATCGAATCTGTAGCTGATACAATGGCTACAAATATGTTACATGTATAGAGCATCGAATCTGTAGCTGATACAATGGCTACAAATTTGCTACATATATAGAGCATCGAATCTGTAGCTGATACAATGGCTACAAATCTGATACATATATATAGGCATCGAATCTGTAGCTGATACAATGGCTACAAATCTGCTACATATATATAGGCATCGAATCTGTAGCTGATACAATCGCTACAAATCTGCTACATGTATATAGAGCATCGAATCTGTAGTTGATACAATCGCTACAAATCTGCTACATATATATAGGCATCGAATCTGTAGCTGATACAATGGCTACAAATCTGCTACATGTACAGTATATGCAGAGCATCGAATC